GAAAAAGTCGGTCGGAAACGGAAGGATTTCGTGCAACGGCATTCAATAAGTTACCAAAAACAATCCCAACACCGATACCTTTAAACAATTTTAAACCAATTTTATGACGTCATTCATCGATCGAATAATGTAAATAATAATAATAATAATTACCCGGTCCTATGACTCCTGTTACGGCAACTCCAGCTCCAAGAGATTTAAATGCAACTTCAATATCTCTATTGTTATTTGATGTTAGGAAAAATCTTTTGGATTGCTAAATAAAAATAAAAATAAAAAAAACATATCAGTTAAAAGAAACATTTTAAAAAATTGACTTATTATTATAAAAAGGGTTGTTTTGTAAAAACAAACAAACAATCACTACTTATTAAATTTTTTTTGTTGATTTTAACAAATTTGTTTGTTGCAAATGTTATTATATTTTTACAATTTTATATTGTATTTTTTTAAAAATATCAATAAAAATTTTTTTTGTTACTTAAAATAAAATCATTTATTTTAATATTTCCATTTCTCTTGTTTGTTTTTACGTAATGAACCTTATTCATTATGTAAAATCAGGTACATTTTATACTAAACAATATAAATATATAAATTGGTTTCCCTTACTTCATGTTGGAATGTGGGATATTGGCTTATTTGATACTTTGGATTAAGTAAACCCTGCCAAGGTGATGATGATGTTTTTAATGAATTTACCTAAAAACAAAATAAATCATCACATTGAAAGCAGTAGAAATTTAAATTTTCCAATAAAAATGCAACAAATGAATACCACTTACAAATCTACCGTTTGTTATTGCTTTGACTGCTGTCATGTTCTTAGATTTTTCTAGAAATATATAAAAAAAAACCATCATCAATTACTACCGTTGGAAATAAAACAATCGTTTGATAATATTAATGAAACTAAAAACACAAATTGCATTCATGGTAATAAACAGCAGTCGCCATGTGCAAAAGCTTGGTATGAAAAGCTTTCACATAAAAATAATACGTGCCGCGTGGATTTGATTAAATTAATTAATTTCATACCTTATTATTAATTATAAATCCTCTTATTCGAATTAAAAATTTTAAATTGGATTCCTTAAACCTCTTTATTTTTTATTTTTTAAAATAACACGTTATTAAAGTTGAACAAAACCAAATTTTTATGATGCTTCCGTCAGTCGTTTGTTTCTTTACATGCAAATAAATTTTCACATGGGTCATAGAGTAAGAAACGTTCTTCTGTTTGTTTTCAAAAAGCGCGGTTTCGAATCGACGGTTGAAAAATTGACCAATCAGAATTTTTTAAAATGATTTATTCGAATAACGTTCATGAATTCCGTTAATATTTAAAAATTTTCGATAATTTTTATAAACGGTTGAAATTAAATATGGCGGACGTGTTAAAATAAATGTATAATCAATTAATTTTAAAAGATTTTAATTTTTTTTTATTTCTCTCTTAAATATAATTTGAACAACTAAATAAAAAAAATTTTTTTTAAATGGTGAATATTATAAATAACCAAATTAATCACTTACTTTTTCCCACCAAACAAACAAACAAACAAACAAAAACAAACCGTCAAAGTCAAAAATATTAAAACATTCAAAATTTTAATGATAAAAGTATTAACTAATCAAAATATAAATGAATTATTACATAATTTTACAACAACCATTTTAAATTTTTAAAATCGTACAAAAAAAAAAAAAAAATAATAA